AATAATAATCGTTTTATTTTTAAGGGCCCGGAGAGCACTCTCCAGCCTAAGTTAACCTTGAGTCAGTTGGTAAAATACAGACAATGTGGCGGGATCATAGTACACTCCTGGCTCACGGCAGTGGTGGCGGTAGTGGGGCCAAATTAACCAGGGCCCAAGACGTTCCGACAGCTCGTTTATGGACACAAATTCACAGATTTCGGCGAATTCGAGGAAACAGTTAGGTGTTTTATTAAAGTCGGAGGTATATTGTATATTGTATATTGTTCAAATTCAAGAAACGGCTGATAATTTCAAATGGGTGGATTCGCACAAATTTCCAACTGGGAGCCCTAATGCAGAGAGGTTTCTGTGGTTGAATTTACCAAAAGAAGCGCAGGATTATGATTAGGATTATAAATGATAATTATTGTTTCCAAGCACCCCGAGCGCACTGTGGAAACAAATTCAATCCCGAGTCAATCGGTAAAGCATAGACAAAGTGCCCGGTAATGGTTTTTGTGAATGGCCGAATGCACGGCAGAATTTAAAAATGGTGTTATGTAAAGAAGACAGGGTTTTTCACGTCCACCGGCGATTTTTCCTTTCTCATACGATAATTTTGATGATAATAATAATAATAGGGGAAAGGGTAGAAATCCGGTCTCCGAACCCATAGACATTTTATGTTAGTTAGTTGGCATCGTTTTAGGTAGGAAGTATTTGGATGTGTCATACTTACAAGTTTTCTAGTAAAATACATAAAACCAAATATTGAGCATCAGTATTCACGACTGGGAAGGATCAACGTTCAACAAAATCTTATTTCAGTTTCAGTTTATTAAGGGAAATATAGGCGAGCGCCTTTGAACTCCCTATTGGTTACAAGTCATCGGAGAAAAAAATTGATAAGTGGGAAGGTGAAAAAGGGATTTTGTACATGATGGCGGACAGCTGACAGATAGTCGAAAAATAGTCATTATTAACTTATTAAATACAAGTAGTATAAGCACGTATAAGTTGGTGCCCAGTCATGCCAGTTGTTGTGAGGCTGGTAATTGGAATTCACATAGGATGAGATTGCAACATCAGTAGGCAAGACATTCCACGCTGCAACCACTCTGTTTAGAAAAATAACTTTCGTCCATTAGTCCTTGCTTTCCCTCCGCGTAGTTTTAGGGGTGACCGCTAAAAGTGGGCGCGTTAGCTTGAATGAAATAATCAATGGGATCTAAGCAACAGTCTAGGCCGTTGATAATGCGAAATGTTAATATAAGGTCACCACCACATTGCCTGTAGGAAAGGGTAAACAGGTTGAGAGTTGACAGTCTGTTTTCATAGGGCAGTGCTCCCAGACCTTGTGTCATTTTGGTCGCCCGTCTCTGGACCTTCTGCAAGACGGTATAATCCTTGGCAGTTTAAGGTCTTCACGCATGTATGGCGTATCCTAGATAAGGTCGCACGAAGGTGACAAATATTTTGGAAAAGCAGTCAGATTCAAATCCCAAATTATGCCCGCTTTTTGAGTTGCAGTGTAGCCATGGCCGATTTAGCCGCCTTCGCGCAGTGCAGTGTTGGTTTGAGTGAAGATGTAATCCATACACCCAAGTTCTTCTGACTGTTAACCTGTTGCAGGGGTGTGCCGTGTAGAAAGTAAGTCCTGGGGCTGGAGGCTCTGAAGGTGCCGAGTTGAAGAAAGTTGCACTTGCTTATATTGAAGGGCATAAGCCAGCGCTTCGACCGGTCTTCAAGCTTCTTTAAGTTTGCTTGCAGGTGGTCTGCGTCTGCCGCATCGTGAATAACTTTCCACAATTTTATGTCGTCGGCAAACAGGATGGCATCACAGTCTAGGTCCTTGACGCAGTCATTAATGAAAATGAGGAATAACGTGGGACCTAAGACTGAGCCCTGTGGGACGCGACTCACCACGCTTACCTTTGAGGACTGTTGACGCCCGACCTGCACTCTTTGGGACCGACCAGCCAAAAAGCCCTGGATCCATACAAGAAGGCGTCCACGAATTCCAACGTTACGCAGTTTGTGCAAGAGACGTTGGTAAGGAACGCTTTCGAAGGCCTTTTTGAAGTCGATGTAGATAGCGTGCACCACATTGCCCTCATCGCGTTCTTTGGTCCAGCGTTCAAGCGTAAAGAGCAGATTTGTGAGACAGGACCTACCACTTCGAAAGCCGTGTTGGACATCGGAGAGGAAGTGGTGCTGCTCGAGTAACTGCATCAAGGCCTTCTTAATGATCTTCTCCATGATTTTGTGACAGATGGAGGTAAGACTCACTGGCCTATAGTTATTAGCAGACGCACGACTTCCACCCTTCGAAAGCGGAGTGATGGTAGCGGACTTTCAACCAGACGGCAGGCATCCAGCAACAAATGACGTTTGGAAGATCATGGATAGTGGCTTGGACATTTCGGGAGCTAGCTCCTCCAGCAGCTTGGCCGGGATTGCATCAGGGCCTGGGGAGGTCGATTCTTTTAGGTTTAGTAACTCATTTCGAACAATTGTTTCGGTGAAGAAGACGATTTCGAGGGTAGGCGTTTCTTCGTCTTCACAAATGAGTGAGAAAAAATCAGGTTCCTTTGCCACGACGGACCGGAAGTACTGAGAGAGATGTTCAGCCTTATCCTTGTCATCGAAGATTTCCGTTCACTCGTCCGCTCGCAGCAGTGGGATGGGGTCTTTGTTCCGTGTGTTCTGTCTTAGGTAGCTGTAAAGGACTTTGACATCAACCATGTCAGGGTACAAAAGATCCTTTTCAAAGCCTTTCCGATCTCTGGTGATGAGAATTTTGACCCGATTTCTCTCTAATTTATAACTGCTTAGCGATTCTGGCATCCGGTCAGTCAGGGATCTTTTCTATGGCTTCCTCTTCTTGTTAACTTTCTTCTTTAAGGACGGAGTCAACCAGCGAGGTCTATTTGTTAGTCTTCTGCGCATGATTGGGCAGTGGAGATGAGGTTATGGACTAACTCTTTGAACTGACACGAAACCTCTTCGAAATCGCTGGAGAGAGTGGATGCCCAGTCGATAGGACTAAGATCCTCTTTCATCTGTTCGAAATCACCGCGCCAAATATTGGGTCGGGAATCGAGCGGTTGTGCAGGAAGGTAGAATAAGGTGTATTCCCACACGAGAACTACATGGTCACTCTGACCCAACGGGGGGAGGCACTTCACAACGTCGATGTTGTCAAACGACCTGGTGAACACAAGATCGAGGCAATTCATTTGTTGGCCCTCTCGAACTCTTGTTGGAAACACTACGTGCTGGGTGAGAAGCAGATCGTCGGAGGTACGCAGTAACTGCTGGTCCAATGCTGCTTCAGAGCAGTCGGCTGAGGCCGAGCTCCAGTTTATGTGAGGTGCATTAAAATCTCCGACGAGGAGAGCCGTCGGTCATGCTGAAAATAATCTGAGCTCCTCCAGCAGTTGGGCATCAGCGTCAGGGTCGTTTCTCGTGGGGCGATATACTGTCAAGATATCGAGGCTTTGAGAACCCGGTGCCTTTATGGTCAGCCATATTGCTTCCGTACTACAAGTCGATTGGGAAGTTTTTTTCAGAAACGTACAAGACATTCTTAACAAATGTTAATATGCCTCCACCCCTTCTGTTTTCTCTGTCTCTGCGGTACAGTTGAAATCCAGGGAGCATGAGCTCTCCTTCATCAACGTGTCCGGACAACCATGTTTTTGTTATTGAGATAACCTCTGGGTGGAGGTCGTGGGTATGGATACGGGGTTCATCCAGTTTTGAAAGTAAACATTGCGCGTTGGTATACATGAATATGATTGTCGAGTTCATGCGAGATTTGTTTTCAATCCCGACATAGGCTACTGGGGTTATTTTCATGAAGGTAGAAATTATAGGAAATAAAGCAACAAATCTGGACAGTTTTAGCCGTAATTCTATCGGCACGCGGCGAGAGATCTAGGCTACTGACGTAGCTAAAACCTACGTCCTTGATAGTAGGACATTACATCATAGGGGTGCCTTGAAAAATTCCAGGTCGGGATAGCCTTCCGGGTGCAAAATACATGAAGAAACATGTAGAGAGCGATAATCCCACTACCCATGTTGAGCCCCATGCGAAAACGTCAGTCGATCCAGTATGGATTTGTACCAATCAATGTTGGTTCGTAGATTTGGAGAAAGAATATACTCATTTGAGACCATTAGCATAAAGAAAAGATTGAGAGTGTTTAACAGCTGTTGAAATATCATTGATTCAAAGCAACAACTAAAGAGGACATAACACGGTATCTTGGAGGACACCGTTTACAACTGGACTTTCAGTGAAAAATCCGGACCCGACTGAGACCTTTTGCTTCCGATTATATAGGCATGAAGGACGCTCACCGATAAGGTTATGGCTATTAGACTGAAAATTGCCATCCTAGTCTCCGTATTATTGTCGATAATCTCCTTCTGCTTATATTCCTAGTCGCTGAGTGACTGCCTATGCGACTTTAGATCGAGCCCCTCGTGACCCGCCCAGTGAACGCACTTTCAGCACACATGTATGCAGCAAATCGCCTAGCAGATCAGGAGCAATAGCTCCGCACCAAATAATGGGATCCAGAGATCTCCCGTCAACAGCTGAAATGTCAAGTATCGAAGTTGTAGGTTCTATTCTATGAGTACATGCCACGGAGAGGTCATTATGCGTTTGCAAACACTCATGGGTGAGAACGTCGGCGAATCTGATCGCGAACATCCGGAGAACAGCTGGTTTTCAAAAACCTCGATATCCCTGGCTAACAGAATAAAGATTAGGGGAGGGCTGAACCATAGTAACGGGTTTTTCCCTTGGTCTTAGCACAGGGGCACAGCCCCGCCAGAAACTGAGCGGAAATCAGTATTACGACTGCTGAGATGGCAGTTGGCGCCTGTCGTCAAGGGCAAGATTTAGACAACTTCTGGCTTGAATCCAGACTCTTTGGTCAGTAAGAGTAAAGTTAACACAGGGGGCTGCGATCGGAAATATTAACTCCTCCCTACTGGGATCGATGGCTACCTCTGCCACTACTCCCTGTCCCCTCCACCCCTTCCCACCCCCCTCCAAAGTCCTAGCGTTCACTTGGGCAGGCTATTACACCGATGACAGGTGATTCCCCCTCGTGATCTCACTGTCCGACCCGAACTGAGGGGCAGACTCCGCGATGAACCACAATTCTGGCAATGTCAGTGTCATCTATGGCTCGTGGAGTCTGTGTGCGTTCAAAGTGCCAAGCCAATAAGTCTATGATTCCAGAGGTACTGACAGTTCGACCGTCGTTGCCGACGATGTCCACCGTGTACTTTACGGCAGGCACAGTGTCTTGTGCGTGGGCTAGTTTATAGTGGTAGTAGACTTGCACAGTATCCATCGCACTCTCTCATCCCCCATCTGGACCCGGTGTCAAGACAGAGTCAAAAAGACCAGAGGCAGGAGAGGGCGCAGGCGGATGGCACGGTCGAGTCCCCACCTTGGCGTCCCACTCCACACACCCTGGTCAATACGGCAAATGACCAGGTTTTGACCAACAACAAAAATGGGGGGAGGGGCTGCAGGGGTCCCAGTGAGCGCGACGTCTGCCGGCAACCGAACCTGCCACCGCACTCCGAAATGTTGGCATTTGTTATGGTGCGCAAATCCGATAACGCCTGCCAGAATCCTATATGGCCCCTGTGTTAGCCCAGTGCATCTACCACGTGGCCCGTTTTGGGGGCACGGTTCCAGGGGTAGCGTCCTTCTCTCAGTTAACTGAGAGAGAGAGAGAGAGAAAGGGAAAGAGGATGCGCTTTTATAAAATATAACATAATAATTAGGAATGGACACACACCGAGGCGAACAAGCTCCATATAGGTGGTGCCGTTCGGGTCTATCGTTGCAGTGCCGTCCATTTTATTTAACTGAAAATTGACCAAAAATAAGGAAGAAGAAGAAGAAGAAGAAGAAGAAGAAGAAGAAGAAGAAGAAGAAGAAGAAGAAGAAGAAGGAAGAGGAGGAGGAGGAGGAGGAGGAGGAGGAGGAGGACAGAGTGCGACAGATGCTTCGTAAGTCCACTCTCACTATAAACTAACCTCATGCACAAGTCACCGTGGCTGGTCTTACCTTGCTGTGTAGCACACGATTGACATCGTTGACGACGACGGTCGAACAGTCATTTTCTGCTGATCCTACTAAGACATGTAATGAGCACTCATTAAGGGACGGGAAATCGGTGTTACATTTAACAGGATGATGAAGGAATAGACTATCACTGGGAGATCTTTACTCATGGAGTTGAATACAAAAGCGTTGGATTGGCGCAATCAATCAAGCTAGAGTTTCTCCTAAGACAGGCACATATCCACCTGCCTGATTGACTGCACCGAGTTTAAAGAGAAAAGTAGTCTGCAAGTCAAGTAAAAAATTAAACCATAAAAAGTGTTTCTCGAGGCATCAGTGTCCTTATTCTAATAAATGTATCCAACAAAGAATTTTTTGAATAATTTTGCCAAGGAAAGCTGCGTAAAGTAGTCGTCCTACGATTACTTGGGTAGGTGTGCCAACTCATGAAATGTTAACCAAAATTTTGATGTGCGTCTTCGAATCGAAAAGATTGCTTAAGTTGGGTTGTAATATTAATCACCGTGCAGCATAATCTCATGATACTTCAGTTACTTCAGGATGCCAGCTTTCGAAAGGTCTTCTTTCCTGCCGCCTGCAAAAACTACACTCTATAAAAAATGACCACTTAAGTAGCAAGCATTTTTCTCATTGATTTTCGATGCCTTTAAAAATTCAATTACATTTCATAGAAAGCATATATAAAAATATGCATTCTCTTATTCATTTAGTGGAAAATTGGACCTTCCAATTTTACACTTGAAAGAAGGGTAGAATGTATTTTAAAAAGTTTCTAAGTATGGGATTTTTTAAGACCATGAAATGCCCATTCATAAAACATTGTGTCTCTGCATTAGCTAATGTGACCTATAAAGTTTACAATATGGCTCAAATCCACCGCTAAATTTTATGAACCCCATATAGACCTCTCGTAAACGGAAAATATACAGCGTATAGTTTGGAAACCCTGAATGCAAGTGCAACGGCGAGTGGGGTTCAAAATTATTCGGGAATTGAAAGGTTTTTTAAAACTAAATTGCAAACTTTATCAAGCATAAAATTTAAGGAAGACGTTATATCCTCCCAAATGAATAAAAGATCGAACATATTTATGCATGTTTTCTATGAAATATAATTGAATTTACAAGGGCATCGAAAATCAATAAGAATTCATGCTACTTAAGTACTCATTTTTTACAGAGTGTGGTCTTCGCAGGCGACCGGGCAGGAGATCTTCTGAAAACCGTCATCCTGAAGTAACTGAATTATCATGGGCTTATGCTGCACGCTGATGAATATTACAACCCTGCTTAAGTAATCATTTTCCAATCGAGAACACAGTACAGAATTTTGGTTAACACTTCTTGAGTTAGCACACCTACTGTATTACTTCTACTACCGTTAGCGACCGAGGCGTTAAACTGGACACCTCAGGAAGGCTAGGAATCATTATTTGGGCGTTCCTGAGTAAGTAAATAATACTGGTCTCGTCAGTCTGCACGCCACCGTCTGCGTGTGTGAGCTCCGTTGACTTGATGTCCGCTCAACGCCATTACGGTTCGTGCCGGGCCACCGTGCGTGTGGCACGCGATTGTCCGGGGGGTGACTGTCTGGACAGACACTACGCCTACGTCCCGCCGCTGTTAGACAGACAGGGAGGAGAGAGAGAGAGAGAGAGAGAGAGAGAGAGAGTGACGGAGCAGAGACAGGGACCCGCACTCACTGTAGCACTCAGAAAGCGCTCTTGGGCTTTCAAGGCACCCATAAAGTAGTATCTAGGAAGCTCGCCAACCGGCCGGACAACCCACTCCTTTTAAGTGCGACCATATCGCAAGTCTCCCGGAATATTATATCCGTGCCAGTCCTTTTGCGGGAAATCCTGGAGTGTTGTTTGGAGGCCAGGTCGTGTGTGTGGCACGCGTAGACGGAGACCCTAGCTCTATCAGCCACCTGCGTCAAATTCCCGCATCAGACGACTGGTCAGCTCGGACAGGGGATTGGCGTGTGTGGGAGGGAAGAGAGAGAGAGAGAGCGAGGTAGACTGCGAGCATTTCGTCCCCACGACACCTAGCGCATATTCCCCACTGCCTTAGAAGAATCGTGCTGCGTTAAAACCCGCTGGCTGGAAGGCAGCTTACTCGGCCCTCCCGTCATAACGTGGAGTCACGCTACAATGGCTCCTCCTTAATGTGGCCCCTACGACAGTCCCACTTGGTTGGGAACTGAGCCCTGCCCATTGTGTTTTTATGAGACACTGATCGCTTGCGCATGAACCAGGCACGCGCAGACGGGCTGTTTAGCCTCGTCCGATCCCACCTCCGGACTTCTTGGCTCTGTCTTGATACTGGGCACAGGTGTGTGTGTGAGGGAGGAGAGAGTGCGGTAGGCGCTGTGCAAGTCTATAATCAATATAAACGAATCCACGCGCATGTCGCCACCTCCGCGCCTATCATGCTGTGGGTCAAACTCACCTTTCGTGAATCAGAACGCGTGTGGCACGCGACAGACGTAGTCGGTCGCCGCGCTGAAACTCGTAAATTTGGGGAGGAATGGGCGTACAAGGATCCATTGGCTTCCTGAAGCAAACAAGTTCCGTATGGGTGTCAAAGGTCACGAACAAGCAATCAACTACCAGGCCAAAGTCGGTCAAGTCCTAGTAGCAACGAGGAGGCACGACATAGAATGCCAATAGATCGGCGTGCGTCCATTCCTGATTGAATAAATACCCGATCTGCAGCGATAGAGAATGACAGTTGGAGAGACCCTGACGAACTTCACTTCGATGAAGTGTCTATGACCCATCTGCTAGACCCCACTGGTGGACCAACTGCGCCAGGTGCGTCTGTGCGCATGTTTGTGTTTTTGGTCCCAGCTGCTGGTGGTCAGGGTTATGATTGGCTGAATGAAGGCAAAATAAGCCCGAAACAGTATTGTATCAATTTAGCCGCATCCTCTGTCGTCTCTCCTCGTTGCTATTATGTCTTGGCCGACTTCGGCCTGGTAATTGGTTGCCTGTTCGTGACCTTTGCCATCCATACGGAGCTTGTTTGCTTCGTGAAGCCAATAGATCGGTGTGCGCCCATCGTGTTTATCATCCCCCAAAGAAGACGAAGAAGAGAAGGCGATTTCATGGGCCTTCATACTGGCGTGTCGGTAGCGCATGAGCTTCCTTGTACATCATGAGATTGCCTAGTTTTGTGCGGTACTCAGCCCTATCGATGACGACAGCCAAGCACCCGTTGTCGGCGGGAAGGGCGACGGTATCCTCTCTCTCTCTCTCTCTCTCTCTCTCTCTCTCTCTCCCTCCCTCTGGTATCTTCAGAAGTTCTCGATCATCTGCTTTAGAAATCGTCATCTGGCGTTTATGTTGGAGGAGTAAAGTTGACACTTGTTGTCGCATGGCATTTTTGCACTCCTCACTTGCTTCACGCTTCTGCAATAAAGTCCGAGCATCTCTTATGCTGAACTCCGCGTCCTGGGACAGAACCGCTAGTTGCTGCTGAGTGGGACGATGGAAAGACAGGTTGTGGACCAGGACACCGTCAGTGAAGGGCTGTTTTGGCGGACTTATTTTCTCAAATTTTCCAGACAACTGGTCATCACGCAACTTGCGGTGACGCCGTGCACCGTCAAGAATTGTCGCAGCTCGTTTGCTGTAAATATCGACTGACAATTTGACGGATGCTGCTCAGTTGTCTGGCAATATTTGTGAATGCGAGTGTGGCTGCTTCGTATTAGTACCCTATCAGAGAGTTGAAAAAACTCGCAAGGATGAGCTGTCGCTGGTCTATGGCCACGCACTACAGCAGAACAATCGTTTCGCCTTTGAGAAAGCGAGGGTGATCGGCCGAGCCAACGAGAAGATGGTCAGACTGATGCTGAAAAGCTGGTCCTCGACTGACGCAATCGACCGAGCTATAGATCTACATTCCACCTACCAGGCGCTGAGTAAAAGGATCTAGTCAGTCCAGACAGGACCAATGAGGCGAGCCAGCACGCGGGGCCGCGAGTCCACATTCACGGAAAAGAGTGGAGTTGGGTACCGGAGGTCATGTGACCAGATTTGAACATTGTCTCACTGATGCGCCCGCGAAGTTGAATGCTACTCACATGGGCAACGACGACTGATCAGTCCACTAGCTCACGTGTGAGAGACCAAGTGGCACGTCGAGTTTACTACAACTACGCCGACCACAAAGGGTACGAAGGTCACGAAAGCCTGTCAGCAGT